TATTCTATTCTATTCTATTCTATTCTATTCTATTCTATTCTATTCTAGTACTAAGTCAGTAGCAACATTAAAGAGCATTCCAGAGAGGCAAAATCTTAGAAGTAAAGTTGAAGAAGAGTTCACAAACAGGTGAAATTTTAAGAAACGTGCCATCGTTAAAAAAACTCCCAATTAAACAAAATCACGTATAAAACCATTACATAATGGTCACAATCTTCAGAGCCTCAGGTATCATTTTCTTGTGAAAATAAGCACACAGACTTAATATGACTCACCGACTGTGACTGCAGTTTGTTTGATTGCAAATTTAAGATATTTTTTTCAATTCAACCTCTATTTAGACAGATAAATCACATTGAGCCTCGAAGACTCATTTACAAGTGAGATCTGTTTAAACAGTAACCAGTAGTGAAACTGGACACATGTAGGAATGAACTTATTCTTGCATTTTAAAACCAATGTATACCAACAAGGACTGGAAACAGCTCCACCCACTCTGAGTGTGAGCTTTGTAAACTATTTGTAAATCTTATATTCTGTTTTTAGTTACAGTTTAAACCACACTGCAACTTCAGAACATCTCTTTTTACACTTTATATTTTTTCTATTGTTGGTTGTAACTGGGACCCTGCACACAATTTTGTTCCACCTCATGTGCCACATGTGGTACAAATGACAATAAAGAACCTTAACCTACATCAGTTTCCTCTTTTCATTTCAGTCTTTTCACATGAAATGTGCTGAACTGACAGCCTTTTCCCACCCCCATGTTGCAGATCCTGGACACTCAGTTAGCAGTGTGCCGCAGTGATGGTGGTGTGGAACAAGTCCTCCCCAGGTGGGACCCTTCTCATCTGGACCTCAAACACAGGAGTGGATTCTCCATGTGAGTCGGACACACGGATCACAGCTCATTCTCTTGGTAAGTGTGTGATAATGTAAAAAAAACACGTGCTTTCAGGGCAAGTGAGAACGCAAACTCAGCTGGCCAGGTGAAGCTCACCATCGGCTACTCCACGGAGGAAAACAGACTTTTCATCACCGTGCACTCCTGCAGGTCTCAATGTGGCGTTTGTTACCTTCTCATCAGATTACTGTCTCAGAACAGAAGGCACCATCATACGTTGTGGTCTGTGCTCCTCCACAGAGCCCTGGCAGCCTGCTCCAAGGACAGCGCTGACCCGTACGTTTCCTTCATCCTGCTGCCGGACAAGAAGGCCACCACCAAGAGACGAACCGCCACCAAGAAGAGGGAGCTCAACCCCGAGTTTAACGAGAGGTAAGGTTGTTACTGGGATGGTCATGGTGGGAGGATTTTTCTCATCTTTGTATTTTTTTTTGTCTCTATAGGTTTGACTTTGAGTTCTCTTTGGAGGAAGCTGTGCAGAAAAAACTGGACGTGTCTGTGAAGCACAGCGTCTCCTTCATGAGCAGAGAGAGGGAGCTGATTGGGAAGGTGAGGTTTTTTACCTCATTCGGCTGCTCTTAGCTGTATCCCTGAGATTATAATCCGATCTGTTTGGTTTCCCATCTTGTTTTTAGATGCAACTGGATCTGGACCAAATCGACCTCAAGGCCAGTGTGACAAAATGGTAAAGACTTATTGAAAAGAGAATAAGTACTTTTTTTTTTTTTTATTGGAGAAGATTTTAACTCTAACATTTTTTTTTTAGGTACGATATAGTAGCGGAAAGCAGCTAGAAGAATCGAATCTTCTGTATTTTACAACGTAAACATTGTGTTGCTTCTGTGATTCTCGCAACTGTATTTTCAGCTTTGATGAAAAAAAAAAATTCCTCATTGAATAAATTAAGAACATTTCTGCAAATCATCAGTATTTATATAGGGAAGAAAAATAAATCTTTATATGTAGCTCAGTCTTCATACAGCTGTGTCAAATCTACTGTTTTGGACAGATATTTTAACTGATTAGATATTTGAGTATTATGCAAGTGTCTTGCATCGAGAACCAAACTTATATGTGTTTTAAAGCATGTAAATGTATTCTATAAATTATATTTTAAAAAAAGGCCTCAATGCTGTGGATAAACAATCATGTTTAACTGTAATTCCTAGATTTTCAGCCTCCAAGACATCTGAATTAATTCAATTTTATATTTTAGCATCCTAAAAGTCTTACTTTTACACATTTCTGTCATTGCCTTAAGTATTAAAAAACTGTGCACAATTTTTCCAGTGTTTCTGAAATACACTTCAGATGTTTTTAAAAAGTATTTTTTGAACGTCACTTTCATAAATCAAAGTATTAGAGTTTAGACCCGTATTTAAAGCAGCTATATGATGCTGTTAGCAGCGTCACAGTGCTTTAATGAAGACAAAACGTTGCTGCTGACAGATGCTTTTTTTTTAATTGTTTGTGGTGCTGATTCTCTCAGCAGTCTGTGTTTTCAAACCAAAGCATTAATGACCTTGTAAGAGCCATGCTGGAATGAAATTATTAAATCTTGTCAGGGGTAAGGAGTTGCACTTTGGCACAGTGGCTCTGACCCTTAAAATACCAGAGGCACAGCCTAAATATAACTGGATGAAGTACACAAATGCTGCTAATTCAGTGTATGACTACACAAACAGCCTCATCAGCCATTGTAGCATTTTATGGATTTGCCATTACTGTTTATATTTCTTGTCTCAGAGTGATAATTACTGCGAGCAATAACTTTTAAAATTGAATTTGTTTTCTGGAAAACCCCCTAAATAAAGTTTTATGACAACTCGATGTGGGTTCCTGACCCCTGTCTTTAGGAACCACTGCTTTAACATCCTATAAACATGCCATTGTGTAGCTGCTGAAGTTGTTGATTAAAGTTTGCACTCATGACTCAAACACGTTTTGGGATTTGTTTCTTAAATTTGTGTTTCTCGTATTTAAAGTTAAAATACATGGAGATTTATAGGCTTAATTTACAAAGAGAAATCCAAATTAAAAAAAGTAAATTAAAGGGCAAGCATTCATTCACTCTGACTTATTTACCAGAGTTTTGTTTATGTTGACAATAACAATTTGCATTATCTTATGCAAGATGTCACAGAGTGTGTTTTCAATGACTCGGCTACTGCTACATCAAATTTTGGTTGAAATTTGTACACGTTGTAGCCATTTTTGTGTTGGCTAATGTTGGTTAGTTGTGGCAGCCATCTTGAATATGTTGACTCCAAAAGTTAATCAGATGCCCAATCATTTTTTTCTTTAAAATAATCATTGAAATCCATTTAATGGTTCATGAGATTGTTTACAGAGTTGACTCCAAATAGCTAGATAATGGAAAAACTAAGACAAACAAACAAAAACGATCATGTGCAATCTGTAAGCACTCAAAAATATGTGTTAGGGATCAGTCTTAGCTACCACCATACCAAATTTTAGCTTAATATCTTCCCAGTTGGCTAAGCTATAGCAATTTTGGTGTGTTTAAAGTCAGTTGGCTGTGGCATCCATCTTTAATTGGGTTCTCTAAGCACTAAGAAGGTGTGTATGTACATTCATTGATTTCTGGAAATTTCATTCAAATGTGGGTTGTGGTTCATTAAATATTTTGGTAGCATACACACACAATTATGAAAATTAAACTCTAGTGGCATTTTGCTTGAGTAAATTCTCAGTCATCCGGGATATGGTGAAAATAATATAATTTAAAAAAAAAAAAATATATATATATATATAAAAAATTGGACGTTTTGATTTCCATCCAGACAATTTTCTCATCATTTTCAAAAACTGGAGTGTTGTATGGACCTTCAAGCATTTTAGTTTAATGCTGTCATTCTCATGCCTTGCCACTAGATGGCGGTAAAGCCCCGCCAGCCTCGTCACCAACTCTCGCTCATACAGATGTGAGGGGCGGGCAACAAAAAAACATGATTGGCGTAGCTGACAACCAATAGGAGTAACGAAAGGTCCATTTGGGGGCGGAGATAAATATAAAACCCCGCCTTCTTAGTGGAGGCAACAACAAATAGCTTAATCAGGATCACACAACAATAATGAATGGAAACGCAGCGTAGCCAAGAAAGTTGAGACCTAACTTCACGTCAGTACTTGAGACCGTTATTTATCGGATGGAAAGGGAAAAATTAAAGTTTTTGTAAGTGATGGATTGGACGGTTAAATCAGATATTACGTTACGGAGAGAAAGAAGCTGTATTTTCGCGGAAATTTTTGATTTTTTCCCCCACGTTTTTGACGCCTCATCATTTTAAACGAGTGAATAAATGGCATTGTGCGGGACAGTAGACTGCAGCCTTTTGGTATGTCGGAACCGTTTGGATTAATTTGGGAAGAAAACTGGAATACTTTGTTGTTTTAATCCAGCTCGGGAGCAGCGGAGAGTTTATGAAGTTTGAAGCTGCAGGAAGACTAAATAAACCAATAGAGTTTGAGCGCATATAGAAATGGGTAATATAGAAAGTGTGGACGGCCAGTCGGAGATAAAACATCACATCATGCCTTTGAAGGTGCCCATGCCTGACCCCACAGAGCTGGAGGAGAAATTTGCCATTGTTTTGGTAAGTCAGAATTAAGTTACCATAAAAAAGGAGGACTGGAAAATGTCATTTTCATGTGTTTTCTTGTGTGTGTGTGTGTTAAAAAGTTGATTTCCCAGCTTGCGCAGGGTGTGTTTGTGTTTACACACCCCTGTCTTATGGTCCATCATGATCTGCTGCCACATTAAGAGAACCCCCCCTCCCCGGCCTGCGGTTCTTTTGTCTCCTAAAGTCAACACTGGGTTCAGAGGCGGCATGGAGACAAAGATCAAGGCTTGGATTCTCTCACGTGGGGGGTGCACGTGGAATGGATCACTGATGGGACACATCAAGTTTAATTTTTCTCGGGTTTAGAATCTGAAAACGACATTTTCTGAATTTCCCCAAAACTCCCACACCCGAGGAATCCCCCCCCCCCCCCCATCATCATCATCATCACCATCATCCTCCCCCGCCCCCTTTTCTCTCCCCTCCTTCCTTCCTCACGCATCAGCCCCAAGCAGAGCACTTTGCTATGATCAGCACACAAGTTTGACGGAGACATTTACATTGTCGCCCGCCGGAGAAGGTGGAGCAATAATGATTTTGCCCGAGTCTCTGTCTATAGGATTGTTTGTCTGTCTGTTAGCAAAATATCTCGTGACCCAAATGGCGGATTTTAATGAAAGTCTCAGGAAGCAATAATTGGATGAGCATCTACAGCTGTTTAGCTTTTGGAGTCGATCCCCTTCAAGATGGCCGCCACAGCCATGCAACATTATTTAACTCAACATGGCCATAATTCAGCCAGTTTGACAGATATTGAGGTCATGTTTGGTTTGGTAGTAGCTGAGATTGATCCTCAACACACACACTAAGATCTGTTTGATTGAGCGAGATGTGTTTAGGAAACTTTGCCCCTAACTACTAAAGTTACCTCTGTCTGTTTGTTAGCAGAATATCTGCTGAACCATTGAATGGATCATTAACAAACCTCCAGGAAACACTCTTTGGGTGAACAGCTACAGCTGATTCAATTTTGGAGTCAACACAATTCTAGGTGGCTGCCTCAGCCCATGAAGCATAAAAATGGCTACAACTCAGCCAACAGATTTACAGATATTCCTCTAAAATCTGGTGTGGTAGTAGCTGAGAGTAGTCCCCAGCTTATAATTTGAGTGTTACACATAGCGCAAGATCCATCTTTACCTAAATCTTTAGTTGTGAGCTTTGGTGTCAGCCTTGTTTGTCTGTTAGCAAAATATATCATAAACCAGTGGACCAACTGGATTGAAACTCTCATAAAGTAATTACTGGATAAATATCTACAACTGTTTGACATTTGGAGCCAGCTCGATTCAACATGGCTGCCACTGCTAACTGATTCTATCCAACACAAAAATGACAATAATGAGGTGAAGTCTATGTGGTAGTAGCTGAGAGTCATCTTCAATACATACTCCGAGCGTTAACACATCTTGTAAGATGTGGCTTTGGTGGCCATTTTGAATTTCAACTCATGAAAGGCAGCAGCTTATATTTATCCCTTCAGGCATGATCTCACAATTATTAGAAACTATTCTGTTTCAGAGGTGGCTTTTTGAAACTAAGAGAAACGACACCTTTGGCAAACCCCCCTCGTCCCACCACCCTTTCCTTCAATGCCTCAGTTTGACCATTTTCATAAATACAGTTCTGTATTTAGTTGCAACATTTTATGTGGTTATTACCAATCATGTTCCCAGAACATCAAGCGGAGAAGAAGAAGAAGAAAGAGTTTAGTGTCAATCGATTAGCTTTTGCTGGACGATTAAATGTATTTTTTATTATACAGATTCTCTGTTATGTCTTACACGTCTCCTCGAGGCTCAATGAGACTAAACTGTAAAATAGAGGTTGAATGTGTGAAGATGAAGCAGTTTAGATTTGGCTCAACAGATTTATGTTTGAGCCAACACTAAACCAAATGAGGTGACTTGAACTTTGCTCACGTTAGCGACAAAAGGTCAGTTTACATCATGGCATTCGGCTGGGGCGTCAGATTTGCGACACGATTATTAACATTTTTTTCCGAAAGTGGGTCCAAGTGTGACTGAATAGAATAGAATAGAATAGAATAAAATAGAATAGAATAGGGGGCTGCAGTAGTTTGGTGGTCAGTGTCATGGTCTAGCGATCCTGAGGTTGCAGGTTTGAGCCCAGATCGTCAGGAAGGGCATCCTGCAAATTGCCAAATCTTTCATGTGAGTTTGTTCTCTGTGGTGACCCCTGAAGAACGGAGCAGCCGAAAGAAGCTTACGCAGAGGAGAATAATATACTCTGACTTTACATTTTAAATGAAATAATTAAAAATACAGATTGAATAAAAAACCTCTGATAAATAAGCATATCCTTTAGTAGGAAAAAAATCCACTTTGAGAACAATTTCTCTATTATATTTAACTTAGTTTGCCTTTTCACTTCTGTATTTTATCCTACGTATCAATGAGCGGAAAATAAAAAGATTTTCCAAAGTTCTCTGTTTCTAAGCAGTGGCTCGGACTCATTTCCTAAAGTTTTATTGTCATTATGAAGTTGCTATGGCAACGGTGTGAGACTTTCTTCTCCAGCACTGACCAGAGTGACATCAGTCGTCTTCTTTTCTCGGTTTGGAAGCTAATAAGCATTTATTCTGAAAGGTTAGGCTCAGATCAGACTTAAAAAAGCAAAGCCTAGGCCATGTTTGTGTCACACTTTGTCCACAGGGCTGTGATTAAATGGACCGGTTGAGGACTTTTTTTTCCAATGAGACCGAAACCGGTCGCTCTGCCTCAGCACGACTCCCTGCAGAAAGTTCAAACTATATTTAAAGTAAATGCAGCATCAATCTTGGTGTATATTTATTGTGCGACATGGCAGTTCTTCCTTCAGTGATGATTTTCTGCTTTTCATATTGCGTAACCACACCCCTACTTTGACTTTTAGATGTTTAAGAAGCTCAGTAGGACTTCCAACATTAACATGTTACTTCTGTTTTCAGTGTTGGACACTTTGTGGACACTCAAAGTATTCAGGTGCTGCAAAGTCAATCTGAAGAGACACAGCAGGAAGAAGCGGCTGTGCTAGTCGGCTCCTTAAAACCTCCAAATTAACATAATTACAGTCTTTATGGTGCCACACTGTAAACACTGTTACTGCAGCTCGGGCCATGCACATTCTGTTGTTGACAAGTTTGATGAAAGTGAGTTTTAAAAGCACCTCAGCCAACTACATTTCCCATCAAGAATGCCTGGAAATAATTGTTTGATTTTTAATTTTTTTTCACATCAACATGCTGTACAGCTCAGAGCCATGCAGCCGGCGGCTGTTTGAGTTCAACACTAAGACAATCCCTGTTATTATATTCAGCCGAGCAGAGCAGCAGATGATTTCTGAGCATGAAGCAGTAGACTCAACATTTCAGCTGTGTTTGTGAGTGGGAAAAGTTTAAAGCTTCCAACTCCACCCCGCTCTACCCCATAATAGCTCCAGATTTCCTTTACTTTGGTGGGAAAGAACAACATGCTTGTACATTTTCGCCCTTATCAGACAATGGTCCTCTCTCTCTCGCTCTGCTCCGTTCGCTTCTTGTTGGGAGATAAAGACACATCAAAAGCCTCTGGTATCAGAAACATGTAACATTTTTCCTTTTAAACTGAGTACATTTCTTTCTTCAACGTTTGCAAGCATAGACACACAGTGATTATCCATAAATAGTGGCTATTTTACATTTTTTGGGGATGTTTTCTGCTGCATAATGACACACAATGAAAATTTATGTGTCTGCCGCTTCTCTGGTGGGACGGCCCCCGTTTTTGTCTCAGATGCAGCACACAGACGTCCCAGTGGACCTGACAGCAGCCCATGATGATGTCATGGGCTCTGCAGCCTCCGCCAGTGCAGTAATATCCCTGCTCTAATGGCTTTAACAGGGTCGCTCTACGGTAGATGGTGAAAGGCATGTGGAGGAGGGGTGAGACCTCTGAGTTTGCATATCTTGACTACTTCATGTGGTCTGCTTTGGCCAGGTCCAACCGGCAGCATGTGTTAAACCCATCAACTCCTCTCTCTCTTTACATTCAGCCTCAGCTCTGTCCTTCATGGATGGAAACAGCAGGATGGAATTTTCTGCCTTCGTTTCACGGGGAAAATTGTTTTGAGATCATCTGTCCCTGTGGTTGGTTCGCAGTAAGAACTGTGTTCCTGCTGATGCGTAACTTTGTAATAGTAAAGGGCTCGTTCGGATCTTTTGGAGTGAGGTTTGGTGGAAAGGCTGTGAACATTTGATATCTTGCGTCTTTGAATAACCTCCGTTTGGAGAAACAGAGTTTAATTCTGACCGGACTGAGGAGCTAACGACTAGATCAAGTGGTAAATGAATCAATTAGTATTTAAGTTTCTTTTGATAATTCAGCCTAGAGCTGTTTAATGTAGCACAAGTGTCAGCACACGAACAGTTTACAATGTAGAAAAAGCATCATCTATCATGCCGCTTAAAGATTTAAGGGACTGTTTCCTGTTTTATGTTTTGTTTGAATATGAGGGACTTGTTGAAAACTAATGTTTACGTACCTCAAGACTGCAGCTGAAAAACGCTCAAATGAAACAGAGGCTTCAGGGACAGAGACATGTGCCGCTGCTAATGCTGCTAATGCTGCTAATGCTGCTAATGCTGCTAGCTGGGAATCTTTACATTCCTCATAGTCACATGGATCAGTGTTGGAGGGGGATGCACATATTCTGGCAGGAAAATTGAGCTCACACACAATCATACTTTCCACTTTAAAATCTTTTCAAAATAAACTGCAATGGCAAAAAGGTGCTGGGACAATTTTTCTTTTCAGTTTAATTTTATTAAAAAGTAAAGTAAAAGTTATCTCAGGGCAAAATACAAGAAAAAATAAAATTAAAAAAAGTCAAAATTTACCGTAATTCAGAGTCAGATGGTAATCCAGTTCCATCCATCCTTCCTTCCTTCCATCCATCCATCCATCCATCCATCCATCCATCCATCCATCCATCCATCCATCCTATTGTCACGC